TGATGATAGCAATGGTCCGCATGTTAAATCTGCGAACATTTTTATTAACAAGATTCCTTCATATTTTACCCTTCTGGAGCCGCTAGTATCCACCTCCATCAGTTCTAACCCAGGCATTGATAAATTTTTCAAACTTATGTCTTTAAATCTGGGCGGTGGTTTCTCTTGTGGAAAAAAGCTGATAACTGTAACATCATGTCCTTTTTCACTTAGCGCTAACAACAAAGGTTCAACCACGAGAAAATGACTTTTCCCTAAATGCGAAAATAAACCTAGAATCTTTAAGCCGGTCGTAAACAGCGGAAGCGTATATAAAATTAGAACACACGCGCGCAACATGTTGCCCGGGAACTAATTTATTCTAGTACTTTCGGTTGTTTTGAATTGATATTAGAATCACTTACGTACGCAATCGTATTTTTATTCGCTGCTTTCATACGACACGGATTACTTTCCTGCGCATCGAAATACTACGGCTGATTTAAAGGTTTGTTAACTAGTTTTTTTAAATTATAGTTATGTGGTAATGAAGAGCGGTAGTATGACGATAATGAAACAGATTACATGAAGGTCATCTCACATTATGTATGACTTGACGATATTCGTATTAGTGATAATTAAACGTTTCCTCCAACGGTAGAGGTACGTTTTTCTGTACAGCAAACTTGTTATATGAATACTTTTCTGAAATAAAAAGAATAAACTACGAAACTGTAATCAGACTCTCGTTAATGCGATTTTATTTAAATTAATCGTATAAAACTTTGAATAAATACTGTCAGAAGAATCGAATTTAAATTGTAATTGTAGAAGTGATTTCATTGGGATTTCTAAATAGTAAGAAAATACAAAGAATGTACGATTGTTTCGGTTAAATAGGCATTTTCAAGAAAACAATTAAATATACTGTCATGTTCATATTCTTAGAAAGGTATTTTGTGGGATGTCCTAGAAGTTACAGTATCATAAGGAGTGGGATGATGATTCTATAATCTTTAAGGACATCCCACACTTTGAGTATTTGCATTTTGGTATTGTTGTACATTTTTAATTTGCTTTTCAACCTTTTCTAGCCGAAGCAATTGCCAAGATTAGACTAAGTGCATATAGCTTAAATGTACTTGTTCAAGTTTCTCGCGTATTTTTAATATTTACATCATCGGTAGCTTGAAACAACTTTCTTATGGTAAACTTCAGGGAAAAATATAGGAAAACAATAAGAAGGTTTTTATCGATATTTGGCATAAAGGGTTTATCAAGTAACCCGTTCATTAAAGGTTTTTAAACTTAAAAGTGCGACCAGAGATTCAAAAATACGACAAATAACCTAGAAGCTCACGCTCTTCATTATTAAAATATTTTTAATCGTCGGTCACCAGTTATACTAGTTATACCGGAAGTAGACATCATTTAAAATGGAATGTTATATTTTTTATGGCATTTTTAGAACGACTTTGATGATACAGATGGCTTTTCTCAAAAATTTCTTATAACTCAAAAATGATTACCGACAGGTACAGAGTATAGAGTATTCCTTTTGAAAAAAACAAATGCGTGTGTTTGAAGCTTTATAAGTTGGACGTTCAACACCCTGTACACATTTACAATACTAAGGGCACAATGCCAGATAAAGATAGGTACGTACGACATGGCTGATTACCGAATATGGCGGCCGCATTTCAAAATGTTATCCGATATTTTAATAAATTTACACACAACGTGTAAATAAAATAATAAATAATTTAAATAATTAAAAACAATTTATAAAAGGCGAGGAATTACGTTACAAATTCAGAATNTTGAACAAGTATTATCAATAAACAATTTATAAAAGGCGAGGAATTACGTTACAAATTCAGAATGCATACTTTTTGTCATTTAAAGAATGTAAATAATACAAGTACACAAATAACTGCCATTGAAAATATAGTTTTTATATAAACTGACGATGTACACATAAGGTTATATTAACAGCAACTAGAACTGTATATGCATACGGTTTCCATATTCCAATAATTAAATGACCACAAACGTAAATCTTAAAAAAGCTAATGATACGATAATTGTTCGTCAAATTAAAGACTAACCTAAAATAAACGAACATCTAGATCTAGAAACTTTTTTCATTAATAATAATCAACTAAATTTACCTGAGGAGGGCTTTCAGGTTCGGCTAAATTAAGACCACCAACTTCTATTACGTTTGGAACAAACGGTCTTGGTCTAGAAATACTCCAGTGGGTGTTTACCAAAAATAAACTTACATTTTTAGCAACTGCCGAAACATCAATGTGATCGGGAAAATTTTCGTTAACAATCTTTTGCGTATATGGGTTCATCACTAACTCAAAATAGAGCTTATGATACCATAATACAAGGGTATTTTCTACTCTCTCAAGAAATGTCAGCTTATCTGAGTAATCCATAAACATCATAGGAATGTACGAAGGATTGTCGGGGTTGGCAAACAACTCATTCCAGAAAGGTAAAATCGCGCACGAACTTAAACCTATAATTGGGGCATTCACTTTTGCAGCTACATACATAAAACAATTGGTATTGAACAATTCCGTCAGGATGACATCGTAAGTTAAATTGCCTTTCAAAAATTCCTTTATTTGAGGTGATGGGAGTACAGCAGCGCACGTTCGTTTCGCCGACAGTTCAAGTAGATGAACGGCTGTTTGCATCATAGTTCTTTGAACACGAGTTAAATTCCATACTTCGAATCCGATGTACGTCAAGTTTTCTAAACTTATATCAGTGAAGCGAGGAATTTTGGTCTTTTGCGGAAAGAAACTGATAACTGTCACATCGTGTCCTTTTTCCGCCAGTTTTCTTAAAAGGGGGTCAAAAACCCAATGATGGCTTTTACCGGCATGTTCAAATAATCCAAGAATTCTGAGAGTTTCACCGTTTGTATAGAACACCGTTAAAAGCAAAAACACGCGAAAGTACATCACTAATATTTAGTGTAAATGACAACCGTTTACGTACTAACAATCGTGGATGTTTTATTGAAATATGACCTCTTATCTTTAAAAGAGGATAGTGACCAGCTTTCAATATTATCACCAACGAATCCGTTAAGCAGTCGAGAGTGACTGGACGTATTTAGACGGCTTCGTAATCGGATCAATGTAAAAATAGGAAAAGTGTCAAGTAGCGTGACTATCTTGCAATGCCATGAGTTAATTGATTTCCCTTTTGTTTGTTATCATTCTTTGTCTTTTATATTGAACATAGTATGTATTTTAAAGATGAAACATGGAATTTCTATTTATTTAACAATATTTTTAGGTTTAAGGATCGTTAATATAATAAAAACCGTTACGCATTTTTAAACTCATATTACTCCGCTCTTGCTACGTTTTGCTAAACCCCCGTAATATTTTACAGACGGCTCCTTGCTGTATGAATTTTTAGCTACACTGTAACTAGAATTTTAATATACAATTATAGTAGAATGAAGATTCGGGCTATAGGATCGTGGTCTAAGTGAACTGTTCCGTCCAGACGTTTCGTCAGCTACTGCGGCTGACATCTTCAGTGGTAGTTCACACTATTACTGAAGTAGCAACTGACAGTCGCTGTCGAGACTTCGAGATATAATCTACGTTCACGTTGTCAACGCAGCACTACTACTGAAGATGTCAGCCGCAGTAGCTGACGAAACGTCTGGACGGAACAGTTCACTTAGACCACGGCCCTATAGCCCGAATCTTCATTCTACTATGGATTGCGGCCGTGAAAGCCTTTGTTCAAATACAATTATATATAAATGTCACGTAAGCATGACCGTCGTATAGTATTTACGAGAAGCAACCTGCGTATAACGCTTTAAAGTGAAAGGTGGCAGAGATTCGTTAAAAAAAACCTTTTTCTCCTAAATATTGTAATGTTCGTGGGTTTAACAAATGAACTTTTAAGAAGAAAACTATTTATTTACACTAATTATTATTGAACTTAAAAACACTATTAAATGATTACTAAACTTAGGTAATTATTCTATTTATTTATACTACTGTTACTATTCACTGTTCTATTTATTTCACTTCTATCACTGTCAATTTGCTTCTTAATTCACTTCTGCAACGGTCAATTTACTTCTACTCTCTTCGGCGATCGTCTCTTCCTTTAAACACTCTTTTGGTTCCTTTCGGGAACTTTCTCGAGCCGTCCGGAAAAGTCTTGTTTTCGTTGAACTATTTAATTGCTTTCCCGGAACGCAGGTACGAACACACGTTTACAGATACGGCGCACATGAGGAAAGGCGCCCGCGGCTAGTCGGCGAATCGATAACCCGCTCACACACACGTATGCCCGATCGCACACAATCACGCTCGTGGTCGCTACAATATATTTGGTAGTAGAGAATCGGAGACTAATAAGTGCTATACTTAATACATATTTTAATTCTTAATGTGTATTTTAGAGGCAAATCTACTGTAGAGAAGTAAGTTGTAAGTGTTACACTCTGATGCACAACATTACGATGTGGAAGGCTACCAAAAAGCGGTAAAAATGGTAAAAATGCAGGTCTGTATATCTATGCCATCTTTTACAATGACGAAGATATAGAAGAGGCATATGCATCAGATATGGAAGACTTGCTAAATTTAGCGATAGGACACGAAAACTTGATAGTTGTAGGAGATTTCAACGCAGTAGTAGGTGAACGTAAAGAAGGGATAATGATTGGAAAACAGAAATGATAGGGGAGAAGGATACAGAGTTTAGTGAGAAACACAAGGTAACTGTCATTTTAATTTGATCATTACCTTGGGATCAAGATATTAGGTAATTTCAGGGAATATTGGTTAGATTACACTCTCTTTAGGCAAAGATTTAAAAATTAAGTGGAATATAGGAGTTATCCATGAGAAGAAATGGACAGCGATCATATTCTAGAAGTTACAAAAAAATCAATCTTAAATTTAAAATTATAAAGAATATAGAAGATAAGCAAACCAAAAGGATAACGCGTGATAGGGATAGAATGCACGCGAAATACAAAACATGATAGATATATTACGCCATAAAAAAAAACGAAATTAGGAAACTCTGGACATCAAACGATTTTACCATTAACAGAAGAAAGACGGAAATAGATAGATGAAGAAGCTCGAGTTACAAAGGGACAAACTGGGAAATAATTAGGAAAGGCAACAATAAAATGTGAAATGATATGAAGTAAAGAAGTAGAAGAAAAAAGTTTAAATAAGGTATAATTGATGGAGCATGTAATACAATTAAAAGAATTTACAGGGAAATAGGATACTGTAGAAATAATATAATAAACGAGATAGCTGTCATTGATAAAAAATGAGGAAGAGGAGGATAGGTGGAAGAAAGCGAGTGTGAAGACATATGAATTAGCATATCTTATAATGAAGGAAAAGTTTGACTTAACATTAAAAAATTTAAAGAATAATACGGCATCAGGTATAGTTGGGTACAGGCGGAAATCTTAAAATATGCAGAGAAGGATGGGAGAAACAGCCGAATAATTCTTAGGAGAAGATCAATGTTGATTTAGAGCAAACAGGAAAACCCATGAGACCATTGTAGTATTACGGGTAATAATAAAGAAAACGATAAAAAAAGAAAAAAGCGCGTATAGGCTAAATGGGAAAACATGTTAAATATACTTAAAGGTGCAGGGATTAGAAATAGAGATAGGAGTGTCACAGACCCGCCACTAGCCCCCTGAGTGCAAAACAAGCTATGCCAGCTAAATCTACGGAAAGCGAAGTCACCCGCAAATACATTCGTGGGAATAAAAGATACAAATTAAAAACTGTTTAATTGTGACCCTTATTGAAAAAAAGCTAAAAGTGAACAAATTTATTCACAAGAATGAAAATTTATTTACACTAGACAGAAAAGGTATTTAAAAATTTGTTAAAAAAATTTATAGTCTAGTTTAAAATAATTTTTCGAAGATGAATTCTTCCTGTAAAACTTTAGCCACCTTTTAAGTATTGTGAGACTGTTTCTTCAAAAACGAATTACAGTTATAAATTTAAAATTATACAAATACGGATATTTTATTAATTTGTAGTGTAATTTTTAAATTCATATCATGTTCGTATGCCTTATTTCTCAATTTTATTACAGAAATTCATAAAATTCACGCCACGTAAATACTCTAAGAGGCGACTGAGGAGCAATGTTGTCCGGCGCCATGTCTCCCGCATATCGTGTCGTTTTCATGTCGTACCTCGCCGTGTGTATGACTGCATTTAATTACAAGGGCTCACTGACGCAACATCGAAGCAAGGTATAATTTGCGTGTTGTGCTAATGTCGTGTAACGCCCTGAGGATACGTATCCTTATTGGCATTGTAGCTGAACGTTCGTTAGACGCACTTGTAATACCCTGCTGTTCTTAAAAAAGCGCCTACCCGAAAAACAGTGTAGTTTCTGCTCCCAGTGAAGTTGTAGGCAACCCGGGACTAGCAACAATTTTTAATATATATCACAATATTTGCTGTTTACGTTGCAATTTCACATTTTTAATATCCTTTTATAGTACATGTTGATAAATAATTGCTTATGATAAGATTGTGATAACAATTACATCATGTCAAGTTATAGGTGCATAATTGTACACGTCTGATCAATATGGTGTGTTTAAATTAAAGTAAAAACTTATTGACAAAAAGTAGATGTACCTAGAAGGTAAAAAAAACTGAAAATCACTTAAGGTCACAGATCTATCTATCTATCGAACTAATGTAATTGGGAAACTTTTGAATTTTCACAATCACTATTAAATTTCAAAATGTTTCATATAGATAGTATTAACATAATCACTTTAGTTCTTTTAATTGTAATACAGTAATTAAACTTTTGGAGTAGGGGGGGGGGCATTTAAAGCATACTCGGAAAAGGCGGGAAAATCTTCAAAACCAATTCCCGTGAGAGACGAATCATTTACATGCCTACTACATACCTTGGACGAAATTGACATCTACTACATTTTAAAAGCACTGTGCGTTTACACAAGTGTAGATATTCCTCACATACGCAGAAATTCTGCATATGTATGAACCTTAATGAAACATTTAATTCAACAGTATCATATCATTATAACCTGATACTATTAGTAACGCAAACAAGTCAGTAGGTTATAAAAACCCTTAATCTTAAATTTAATACTCCGCTTTACGAGAAGATATAAGGTCATTACCTGTGGAAGCGGTTTGTGTTGGGGAAGATGCATGCCACCAACTTCAATAACATTGGGTACGTAAGGTTTAGGTCTAGAAAGACTCCAGTGACTATTAGTCAGCAGTAAGCTTACATTTCTGCTAACTTCTGCAATAGAGGAAACACCAGCTACGTATTTATTCACTATTTTCTGAGTATCTGGGTCCATGACATAATTAAAATATAATTTGTTAAACACTAACATGACAGTATTTTCCACTCTCTCTAAAAAGCTTAGTTGGTCAGAATAATCCATAAACATCACAGGAATATAAGAGGGATTGTCTGGATTTCCGAAATGATCGTTCCATTGAGGCATCACAACACACGAACTCAAAGCAATTGTTGGCGCTTTAACCTTTTCTACAATAGCCATCATGCAGTTTGAATTGAAAAACTCGACCAATATTACATCGTAACTCAAATCGCCTTTTAAAAAGTTTTGCACTTGCGGTGATGATAGCAATGGTCCGCATGTTAAATCTGCGAACATTTTTATTAACAAGACTCCTTCATATTTTACCCTTCTGGAGCCGCTAGTATCCACCTCCATCAGTTCTAACCCAGGCATTGATAAATTTTTCAAACTTATGTCTTTAAATCTGGGCGGTGGTTTCTCTTGTGGAAAAAAGCTGATAACTGTAACATCATGTCCTTTTTCACTTAGCGCTAACAACAAAGGTTCAACCACGAGAAAATGACTTTTCCCTAAATGCGAAAATAAACCTAGAATCTTTAAGCCGGTCGTAAACAGCGGAAGCGTATATAAAATTAGAACACACGCGCGCAACATGTTGCCCGGGAACTAATTTATTCTAGTACTTTCGGTTGTTTTGAATTGATATTAGAATCACTTACGTACGCAATCGTATTTTTATTCGCTGCTTTCATACGACACGGATTACTTTCCTGCGCATCGAAATACTACGGCTGATTTAAAGGTTTGTTAACTAGTTTTTTTAAATTATAGTTATGTGGTAATGAAGAGCGGTAGTATGACGATAATGAAACAGATTACATGAAGGTCATCTCACATTATGTATGACTTGACGATATTCGTATTAGTGATAATTAAACGTTTCCTCCAACGGTAGAGGTACGTTTTTCTGTACAGCAAACTTGTTATATGAATAC